TTTTCAGTAAATACTGTTGCCTGCCTATATTTTATTATTGATTTTTAATGATTATACATAATTTTCTTCAATTTAAGCGTGAAAAATATATAATAATAATAAATTAATGTTTTAATTGTTTTATAAATCCATATACTTTTATTAAAACTAACATATATACTTTTTATTTACGAATTCTATTAAAAATTGTATTTGTCAGTATAGGCAGAAATACTCCTTTAATACCAAAACAAATTGGCGCTGCTGTCGCGCACGGAGCGAATAGGTTTTACTATAAATAGGGGTTTCGTCTTTTGTCTTAATTTCGTGTTTCACCTGATTAGTAAATGTCAGTGGTAAATTTTCTTTATGAAAGATGTCTTGAAATTGTCTACATAGTTTTTCTATATGATATTTTTCTTCGGAGTTTAGGTGAGAAGTTCTAATGTATTGGTTTATGTCGAAATTGTCATAGAAATTATTTGTCGGGTTTTGGACGGACATTTGGAATATTTCTTAAGTTTCGTTTAAGAGTTCTACGTGGATGGGTTCATAAAGATAGATATCTTGAGTTTTTTAGGTATTGTTTTGTATGTCGACACAAGCATAACCATTAAAAAGTTTTAAATCAGGAATTTTGACTATTTCGTTTTGAACGTTGATGGGGATTTTTGCAGTTTCAATAGAATATGGTTCAATCCGAGCGAAAAATAAAAGTTTTCCTTTAGATTCATAATGAGATAATGATAGATTCGTATCTTTTGTTTTTAGAAACGAATTTTTTAAATCAATTTCTACTTCTAGATCTTTAAGAGTTTCGTAGCCTATAAGGCCGTCAAAGAAATGGTGGAATTTGAAGAGATGAAATTTCATAGTTTAATTAAATTTTAATTAAGAAAAAGCGGGTATTTCTACGCAAAGGTCTCTCGTTGTTGTTTGAAAAACAGAACTTAATGTGATCGGTTCTTTAAAGATATATTCGGGGAAATAATTTTCGTCTATTTCGGGATTAATGAAGGATTTTGAAGCACCTGTATCGATTATCAGTTTTAAAGGAGGGTTGGAAATTACGATAAACGGTAGATCTTTTTTGTCATATAAGGAGTATATTTCTATGTTTGATTAGTCGTATTGGATATTTTCTGAAAATTTTGTGAATCGTCTAAATTTTCTGATTCTGAATTTGGGCTCTGGGCGTTCATTTGATCTGGGTAATTATTTACATAACAATCGTCTGGTAATCAGTCGTTAGCGTGTGCGTTTAAACTATTGTTAGTGTACGAGTAAGGAGTTTGGAAATAAGAGTCGTTTCCTTCGTAAGTGGTATCTTCTTCATAGGGGTAGTAGGAATCTGCAGAATTATTATAGTCATAGTACTGTGGTTGGTCAATATTGAAAAGTTCTTCGGATGTAAATTTTGGTTGTGATTGAAATTGGGGTTGGAATTGTGTATTGCCTCTTCTGGCGTTGGTATTAAATGTATTACGAGAAACACCGCTCATGGGTGTGGGTTTAGATCTTTTAAAATTAGGGTTTGGTTTCCAAACATTTGTGGGAGCTCTAGGAGGTTGTTGTGTGCCGAATACTTGGCGATTCGTAGGGAATCTTTGATGGGTAGGTCTGGGTTGGACATTTATAGGTCCGCGGGGAAATTGATTAGAAACATTTTGCTGAGGATGGAAATTTGGTTGAAAATTTGGTTGAAAATTTTTTGAAAATTTGGTTGATAATTTGGTGTATTAAAATTCATGTTAGAAGGATTAAAGTTACCGTTATAATATTGATTAAATTTTGGTGTTATTCTAGGTTTAATATTATCTGTATTGGATTTTTGCAAATGGAGAGTATTAATTTCCTCAATAACATTTTGCCTAGCTTCTGCAAGTATTTTTGGTTTCATTGCTCTTATTGTAGAGCCTAAAGGTTCTTTAAGACCTGCTAAGAATATTTTTAAAGCATGTTTATTATAAAAATCCTTTTTTACAGTTGCACTAGCTTGGACAGTTTCATGACAGTCAACAAAATTATGAAGAGCACTTAAATTTGACATTACCCTAGTGTAGAAATGTAGGGCAGGTTCATTAGAATTTTGTCTTAATTGATCTCTTTCGAATAATAAGCCATTCTCATCGCGCTGATCACCGAAGTGAGCTATTAATGAACTTTTAACTGTTTCCTAATCTTTAGTAGTACAAATACTGTAAACTTGTCGTGCAGGACCAACTAATTTTGAATATATTCCAAAAATTAAACTTACGTTTTCTACACTGCCAGAACTTTCTGGGGATGGATCCCAGTAAGTATTTATTAAAGTATTGGCAGTTTCTAGAAATGAAGCTAATTCTAAAGGATTTCCATCAAATTTTGGTACTATTTCTAACAATTTTGGGGTCGGCATTATTGTTGAATTTGATTCTTCGTTAATAGATAAATTACTAAAATAAGAGCTAATCTCTAAATCTAAACTATAATCTTCTTTGTTAGATACGTTAAAACTAAATTCTGATTGTAAACTATTAAAACTAGGCTCACCGTCGATCTCCGCAATGGAATTTTTGGATGAGGAGAATGACATAGACAGGAAAAGGATAGATAAATGAAGGCAACTTACAGTATTATCACGATGATGTCCATAAGGGCCTAGAGACTTTACTTCTTATTCTAATTTTCTTCTGAAACTTTCCAAGGTGGATGTTCTCAGTTTATTTAACAGTTTCTGCACTTTTCGCGATTCTGACACTTTCCAATACGGATGTTATCAGTGTTTTTATTTCACTAAACTAGGTTCGGTAACTTTTCTAAAACGAGGTTTTTTCCGAATTAACAGTAGATACTGAAGGATTATTTGCGATAAATGTCCTTTCGGAATCCTACTGACTGCGCCACTTTATGTTTCTTGATATAAAAAGTTATTTTTTAAAAACAATTTTTATTTGAATTTAAATACAATACGTGTTTTTATCTACAAGTCTACAATCATTCTGATGTAAATATTAATTATTAAATTAAACGTTAACTTTTGCCGAATCAGCACGTGTGACGTGCCGGCGATGTGGTCGATGTTTAATTCCATATATGGTGGTGTTTATGGATGGTTTCTGATAACGTTCGTAGTTCCTATAACATAACTACTCGTATACCTTTTAGACAATTCAACAGTAAAATTTTATAAGAACACGTATTTTTCAAAAATAGTAAATGCCATAATACCGACTCTTGCCTTTTATTTATTTAACTTTAAGGATAATCAGTATTACTAACGATTTAATGACCCACACCTTTTGTCCCGACAGCTAGCCGAAGTGGTCTTCTTCTCTAAGCTCTAGGAGAACACTATTACCTTTTTTTTGTAATGGTTTTCTAAATTCTAAATAATAATATACAAAATTTAGGAGGTTACCAACTAACCCCGATCTTTGAGTAATAGTAAATATTCCCGTTATATTCTGAAAACTGATAGATTAAATGGACGTCGTAATGCAAAAAGAACCAAGCGACAACAAGATAGTTTTGAGAAAATGAGGTTTAAAGTTTTTGCAACATAATAAAATCAGTTTAAAAAAATAAAAAATTTTGACTGCACTTTCTTACACTTCATTGCTTGGGGTTTTTGACGGTTTAGGTGTTTTTACTCTTGAATTCAAAAACCATTTTGTTAAAAATATCGCTTGGTTCTTTTTTGCATATTGCGTTTTGAATAATAGTCCAGTAAATGAAGGACTGAAAAGATCGAAAGCTTTACAAAAATAAATAATGAAAAAATATCATTAGTACATCAAAAATTCGGTCAAGCCGACGACTCTAAAACAGAGATTGTATACAAATACATGCGTGGGTACACGAGGTTAGGTTATATATAATATCATGGATCTCAGAGGGGGAGCGTAAAAATGAAGTATATAATTGTAACAATCTTTTAAGAACCAAGAACGGATAGGGGGATTGACTTATATCAATGGAAAGATCAGAATACAAGCTTTACTTTGATATAGTTATTAATCCTCAAAAAATAAAAAACGGGGAATAAGAAATGGTTAAACAAAAAAAGGCCGGTTTTCACTCGTGTGATCAATTTTCCTCATTTCTTGAAAATTGTTAGACTCTATTAAAAATAAAAAAATATATTCGAAAAGTAGACCATCTAAGCTTTAAAATGATGTACATCGGAAATCAATATAACGGATCGTAAGATTATAATTCGCGCTTGTTATGAAGATTCTAAGGAACTCAGAAATCGGCTAAAACATTTAAATAAAGAAATCAATTTTGTATTAAAACGCAAGAAAAGTATTACAAAAAAAATTCTGAGATCATTCAAGACCCCCAAGGTCCCATTATAAAGGCAAAATTAGAATAAATGACTATTTTTAAAGAAAATATAAATAAATTAATGAAGCAGTCTCTAAATATTGTTGAAAAAAATTTTGCCTGCTTTTTAAAATATTTTTGGCAAATACGAACTGACTGCAAGTTACATGGAATTGTAGCTACGGGTTTTCCAATTGCGATGAATTTTGAATCATCGAAAAATATCAATTTTTTCCCGAGATATGGAAAAATTCGTCTGCCCGCTTACACGTTAATTCATAGAAAGCGGAATTCCTGCAGGTAGAGCAGCAGCTGAAATGAGGGGACTTTTGAGTGCCATTATCTTGAAAACTATTGAATTTTCGAAGAAATTGATAGGGACCATTTTGGTAGATAATGAGCTTATCTTTATTTTTTGTCTGAACAAAAATTCTCTAATTGGCATATTCAGTCAGACATTAGCGGGAAACCCATTTTCCATGTTTTAGTGGTCCATTTTCATCCCCTTCCGGTACCAAGAACTCGTTAAGGATTTTCTCGTTTAAAAACACCTGCGATTACCCACAAATTGCGCTATGTGGGAAATCATCAGCAAATTTTCTACAGGTTTGACGCTTCAGTTACTGGACTATAAAAGGTAAAACCAACAATAAAATAATTCGAAACAAAATTATTGAAAAAATTCTACATGCTAACACTATGGGTAGTAGTATCTAATTGTCTGTTTCAAAGTCCGAAACACCTCCACATCCGTCCAGATCGTCTTCAACAGTACCGTCTGTGTAAAGACCCGAATAAAATTCTAGATAATCTTTAGGTATTAAATGCCAAATCGATTTTGGGTCCCTTAAGTTTTCTTCGGCAATTGGTTTTCCATTAGGCCAGAGAGCATTTATGTCGGACTGAGTAAAGAAGTTGTCTGGACGACCACGGGTTCTTTTGGATATATCAACCTCAACAAATGCATCATCGTTGAAATTTCCTTTCGTGTAAATTGAGAATGGTGCTTCTTTTACTATTCTTATATCCCTTGTGTTTAGCCAACTTATATTTTCCCCGTTTACTCCTCTCTTTCGGTTGGTTATTTGCTTTTCTATTTTTCCTGAGATTCCAAAAAAAAATATTTTTCCATTGGAGTAACGGAAAAAGGATTTTTTATGCGAGAAGTTTTCATTATTTCAAAATAATCTTCGGGAGTATATAGGCGCTGTTGTCTTTTGAGGGCGGCCTCAATTTTTCCGAAGTCATCGTCATTGGGTAAATAACTGTGTCCTGAGATCAAGTATTAAGTATCAAGTTACAGGATAAAAGAAATTATAAGATTTTTAGGATTATTAGGATTTATTTAGGACTCATTTAACATAAACTGCATTTCTAAAACCTAAAATAAATGCTACTTCCAATAAATCTAGTGAATTAATTCATATTTTATCATTTGTTTACTTACTTTTTCAAACTTGAAATGAAATCCATGTAGAATTTATCCAGAAGGAAAGAGGACATAAGTATCTTAATAATAAACAATTTTTACTATTTGTTACATTTCAAAATAACTCAAAATCATTTCAAAAGGTAACCAAATTATTAAATTAGTTTTGTTTACATTTTCATAATATCTACATGTCATAAGTCACAAAAGTCGATTTTAATGAATGACAATTAGAATAAATGATTAGTAATATGAATTAAGTAATCAAACATTCATCTACCAGTTCTAAGAAATGTACTAGAACTAGACTTTTAATTAAAATGTTTTGTCTTTGTCTACCAACTAGATTAGACATAAGTTAATCTCTTTTCAAGTATTGGAATTTGTAAAATAACAAACTATTTAATAATTTGGAGGGTCTTGTCAAATGGGAATATGCCATTTTGTTCTTCTTGTGAGAGCTTTCGTCAAGAATACGTGTCTCAACATTTTTTGTGGATTTTTCCAAAAGTTCTTCGATTCAAGAGATTTCGAATTGTTCTATTGAATAGAAATTCATCAACCAAAGGTTGGATTTAATTTCACGTATTGAAAACGTCCAGAAACTATTGATCAGGAGACCCTGAGCAAATTTATTACTCTTAGAGGCCACACTCCATCAAAGGTACTTTAAATAATAACTTTTTCTATATTTTTACGTTTTATTTCTCCAAGTTGTACATAACTTCCGACGTTATATTCCTCTGCAAACGTCGCCATCACAGACAACTTCATCCAGACCGTCCATGGGGAATCATTGACTGGTTTCATACGTCCCTAGTCTCAACCCCTTGCGATCGATCCAGATCCAGACACTAGCCACGGAGAATCATCGACTGTTCTAATATACCTAGTCTCATCTCCCAACCTGCTATACAAGGTAACCTTTCTATGCTTTATTAATCCGGATTTCGGACTGTGTTATTGGACATATAAACCTGAAACCGCCTGATATATTTTGAGAAATATTTGGCTACTCGAATTTGTACATATATATTTAGTTGTAAATTTTTATCAAGCTAATTAGTTCATAGTATAAACTTACCATATCTTAACAATGTATTGAACTTGTCCGATTATTTCCAGCCTTAAGCGTTGAATACTTTATTTTGTAAAATATTTAATTACAAATCATGTTGTTCGCCGAAAATATGCATATTTAAGGTCAATCTAAAATTATTAGTGAATATAATATTATAACATAAAATCTCTAACTAATAATCTCTAATTACCTCCTATTGTAATTTTTCCATATTGAGATTATTCAATTTTTAATAATTTATAAAATATTTGTGACATTTAACTTTAAAATCTTGTAACATAACCTCACTATCTAACAAATGGTAAGACGACCAGGTTAAAATAAAAAGAAGACAATCAGACTATTCCGGTCCTAGTATTCAACACAAATAAAGCCACGTAAAAGGTAATCGATTAGTTTTTATTGTAATCATCCCTTTAAGTACCCAACCCCTGAGAAATAACCAACAACGCCTTATTATAGGTCAGATACACGTAAAATATTTTTTAAATCATGTTTTAATTCAAAACACTCTACTTGTGTATCATTTTTTTTTATAAATTATGATTATTGGCATAAAAATATAATTTTAACTAACTTTAAAAGTGTCTGAAAAAAAGATACGGATACTTGTATCCGAGTACATTTTTAATTCTTAAGTAAATATATCCGTCCCTTTTTTAAAAGTATCGAGATGGTGTACCTAAGTATCCTATTCAATATTCGGATACTTTTTTCATGTATCCTTACAGAAAATTTCCGAACAATCTTGATATCCAGTTATTTAGTACATACAATACCTATTAGTTGCTTAGTCTTAAAATGTACTCTTTTATTATTAAATATTATATTTTAGCATAATAAAAAGCATTTTACTAGGTAGGTACTACTATCTAAGAATATCTAAGGACATGCACACATAGTTATCATAACGCACCGGGTATGAATGTGATTTATAAAACAAGTTTTACTTATTTTTCCTGCCTATCGCCGATTAAATTTCACGACCATAATTGTTAGTTATTTTGCAAGAAACTGCAACTGCCCATATTAGCATTGCTCCAACGTCTAGGAAATACCGAATGGAGTGATTGCTACTGTAATGCGAAGCTTTTACTACAGGACAGGAATTTAAAATATGCCCATAGGATATCGTTCTGAATATATTTTCGTTTAACACTTAAGTGAACTCTAGACCGAAACGAAATTTTTGATTGGCACTTTTTACCACTTTTTACTTTCCTATCTGTATACAGATATAAGGAAAGTATAGGAATCATGATTTTTTTCGACTTCGAGTTTTCGACGGATTTTTACGTTTTGAGGTCCCCTGAATCCGTTTTGACTATTTTCGCGATGATGTCTGTGTGTGTGTGTGTGTGTGTGTGTGTGTGTGTGTGTGTGTGTGTGTGTGTGTGTGTGTGTGTGTGTGTGTGTGTGTGTCTGTGTGTGTGTGTGTGTGTGTGTGTGTGTGTGTGTGTGTGTGTGTGTGTGTGTGTATAACGCATAACTCATGAACCGATACACAGAAAAACACCAAATTTTAAACTTAAGCTTTGTTTCAGCGTCCAATGAGCTCATTAGATTTTGGACAGAGTCGGAACTTTTGGGGGGGTACTTTATTGGTGATCATTTTTATATTTCATGAAATATATCCGTTATTTACGTTTGGAGAAGAAAATTCTTTAAACAAAAGTTACTTATAATATTATTATCTATAATTTTTGTTCTATACAAAATTTTCCTAAAATGGTCCGTATTCGAGAAATTTGACAAAATGTAAAAAAAATATTTTTTATAAAAATTGTTCAAATAAAAGTTGTTTGTAATATAATTCTCTATAATTTTTGTTCTATACATAATTTCTCTAAAATGGACTGTATTCGAGATATTTAAGAAAATGTGTAAATTTCGAAATTTGAAGAAAACTCAAAAACGGATAAAGGAAAAAACATTAAATTTTAAACTTAAGGTTTATTTCGGCCTGACGTGAAATGATTAGATTTTGGACAAAGTCGGATCATCTGGGGGGGTACTTTATGGGAGGCCGTTTTTATATTTTATGGAATATATCTGTTATTTATGTTTGGAGAAGAAAATTGTTCAAATAAAAGTTACTTCTAATATTATTATCTATAATTTTTGCTTTATGTCAAAATTTCCTGAAATGGTCCGTATTCGAGAAATTTGACAAAATGTGCAAAATTCTGATTTTTATGAAAATTGTTGAACTAAAAGTTGTTTGCGATATCGATTTCTATAATTTTTGTTTATACATGATTTTTCTAAAATGGACCGTAATGGAAAAGTGATAAATTTAAATTTTTCAGTATTTTTGTTTTCAATGAATATCTATAGAAAAATGTTTCGAGGTAAATGTATGTGTAAAATGTATATATTTAGTTTATCCTCTAAACATTTATAGAGATGCTGCAATAGGTTGTACAAAATAACCGGAAAATGCCTATAATAACTAGATAGGAAAGTCATGTGTTGGACACATCAGATTTTTACTTTTCGATCTATATACAGGTAAGGAAACTATAGAAATAATGATTTTTTTCGACCTCGAGTTTTCGACGGATTTTTACGTCTTGGGGTTCCATGAATCAGTTTTGACTATTTTCGCGATGATGTCAGTGTGTGTATGTGTATGTGTCTATGTATGTGTCTGTGTGTGTCTGTGTGTGTCTGTGTGTGTCTGTGTGTGTCTGTGTGTCTCTGTGTGTGTCTGTGTGTGTCTGTGTGTCTGTGTGTCTGTGTGCCTGTGTGTCTGTGTGTCTGTGTGTCTGTGTGTCTGTGTGTCTGTGTATCTGTGTGTCTGTGTGTCTGTGTGTCTGTGTATCTGTGTGTCTGTGTGTCTGTGTGTCTGTGTGTGTCAGCGTGTGTCTGTGTGTCTGTGTGTCTGTGTGTCTGTGTGTCTGTGTGTCTGTGTGTCTGTGTGTCTGTGTGTCTGTGTGTCTGTGTGTCTGTGTGTCTGTGTGTCTGTGTGTCTGTGTGTCTGTGTGTGTATGTGTGTGTATGTGTGTGTCTGTGTGTGTCTGTGTGTGTCTGTGAGTGTCTGTGTGTCTGTGTGTCTGTGTGTCTGTGTGTCTGTGTGTCTGTGTGTCTGTGTGTCTGTGTGTCTGTGTGTCTGTGTGTCTGTGTGTGTCTGTGTGTCTGTGTGTCTGTGTGTCTGTGTGTCTGTGTGTCTGTGTGTGTGTGTGTGTGTGTGTGTGTGTCTGTGTGTCTGTGTGTCTGTGTGTCTGTGTGTCTGTGTGTCTGTGTGTCTGTGTGTCTGTGTGTCTGTGTGTCTGTGTGTCTGTGTGTCTGTGTGTCTGTGTGTCTGTGTGTCTGTGTGTCTGTGTGTCTGTGTGTCTGTGTGTCTGTGTGTCTGTGTGTCTGTGTGTCTGTGTGTCTGTGTGTCTGTGTGTCTGTGTGTCTGTGTGTCTGTGTGTCTGTGTGTGTGTGTGTTTGTGTGTCTGTGTGTCTGTGTGTCTGTGTGTCTGTGTGTCTGTGTGTCTGTGTGTCTGTGTGTCTGTGTGTCTGCGTGTCTGCGTGTCTGTGTGTCTGTGTGTCTGTGTGTCTGTGTGTCTGTGTGTCTGTGTGTCTGTGTGTCTGTGTGTCTGTGTGT